AAACATATTTGGGAAGATGATTAAAGGGAAAGAATATGTTCTAGGGCTGGGCGATACTGCTTAAAACTAAAATCTCAGATTATTTTATTATTAATTTGATTTACGATTCTTTTTCTGATTTTCCAAAACTCCCAGCCTCCCACCCCCTCGCCGGGAACCTTGCATGCTGCTAATGCTCCCATCCTCCGTCCTCCTACTAACTTGTGTTTTGGTAGTAATGCGTTCTGATAAGCGCCAAAAGACATGTTATCATAGCAGAGTTATTGCTGGTGTTGCTATGAAACTCACGTTGACAAGGTTATTTTCCCCTCCCGAAAAAAACAAATTCTGACTTCATTTCATGCAGCCATCTCTGTCACAAAAAGGACATTGTTATAAAAACAATGGTGGAAATAAAAGAAAAAATGATTCACAGAAGCTGCAAACTGATGCCAGCAAAGTTCTTAATTTAACGGTCATTTTAGAGCATATTACTACTGACGTAAAAACGCAATCATGACTGAGTTAAACTAAGTTAATATTAATAATGATTTCACTTAACCAAATTTTAACTCAAGAGAACAGCGATTAGCTTAAGGTTACTGAAAAGTAAAAAGCAAGCCACAAGTATTAACTTATGCAGCATTAGAAGCCTCAGGGTATTGAATCTATATGATTAAAACATCCAAAATGTGGGTGGAGAGAAGTTTAGATTTCTGTGTTTTAAGTTATTAATATGAATATTAAACATGTGCACTTTTTGCAGAATTTTGATTTCATATACACCCTTGACATTGTTATCAATCCTGTCACCAAAATTATTCCTATAACTCTTTACTTAGATGTATACAGGTAGCAGCCTCATTCTGGGTGTTGTAAAAGCAGTTTATTTTTTTATTTTATTTACTAAGTTAGAAAATACGGATAGCCTCATTGGGATCATGTTTCTGTGCTGAGCTCTACTCCTGTCTAGGTTGTCTCCATGTAAACAGAAGGATGTCTTTGTTCCCCAACTTCCCACTGAATCCCAAAACAGCCTCACCTGGTACACAGCCCCGCATGTCAGGACCCAGATCCTGTCCGTCTGGGCAGGCACAGGTGTATTTGGGAGAGTGTTCGGTGATTTGTGGTGCTTTAAGGCATAAATACTCGCAACCCCCATTGGCTACACTCCCCAGATTACAGCTGTCAGGGCCTGCAAACAGAAAGGAGAGAGAGTTTACTCAGGAATAATGACAACAAGGACTCAAGAGATCAAACTCTGCTCTATATGATCCTAACTAAGTTAATCACAAAGAGAAACATGCATGCATTTATGGACCTGGTTTGGCACATGGAGAAAAGTGAGAGCGTTTTCTGCAGACGCTGAGGCCTTACATGGACTAAACACGCACCTGGGGGCTGACGGAGCTGGTGGAAGACCACTATGTCATGGGGGTCATTCAGGTTTTCAGCCAGAGCTTGGATGTCCTGACCAGTTAACCTGTTGGCCATAAAAACTGCTGCCTTGTCTCTGTCGGTCCAGTAGATCCGATCCTGCAACACAGAAGAAAGAAACCTTCCATTAAGGTGTTTTCTGTAATGTTCAGTCCAGTCAGACTTCTGCACCTGGTTTGTTGTGTCATTATTGACAATTAATGACAATTATTTCAAAAAAAGAAAAAATTCAAAAACAATATTCTGTTTTACTGAATTATAATTCAGTAAATTTTTATGTATTATTACTTTTCCTTTATTTTAATTACTAGTTTGGAATTCAATTTCTTTAATAGGAGGCTATGTAAACTTTTAACCATAAATGTATCTCTATAACTGTTATAGAAGTATACCACAAAAGAATCTATATATAGATTATATGGAATGTATAAAACTGAATTTCTCCTTAAGCCATGATGGCACAATCTCTTTCAAAATGAATCTTTCTTACAGGAACATTTATGTTTCCTTTGTCTGTGGTTGGATCTAGACTAAAGCAACAAGTAGCACTCTACCATTAGAGGGGTTCAAAACTCCAATTTTAGTCAGAATAAATGTGATGTTATGGGTTTGGTACTATTTTATGGGCAAGTGTGGGGTGTTGTATTTACCCTTATCTAGAGATTCAGGGAATAAAACAAAACTACTTACTATCAGAAGTCCTGACATGAAAACACTGCAGCTCATCAACCACCTCCATGATCCATTACTTTTAAAGTGTTAATTTGATTTTAAAAAATTGTTTATAAATAATTGTTTCATAAATGTTCCTAGTTACGATGCCTAATTTGATTTGAAAGGATTCTGCACCAACAGGAATAGTAGATTAAAGTCACATGAGATGAAGCTCTGGTGTTGCCAGATCGTAGTAGCTTTGTAATACAGCGGAGAAATAGCTTCTTTATGGTGTTATAATGTTTACATACAACCCAAAAATCAAACAGAAGAAGCAAAATGAGGGCAAACATCAGTCGAGCTATTGAGTGTTGATTCAGGCTCAAGGAAGCAAAGGGGCTCAGAACCGATGTAGAGGTTTGCGCTTTTCTTCTAAAACTGTAGCTGCAGTGTAACTTTTAAATAAAAATGACACAAAATAAATCAAATACTAGTTTGGACCACTTACAAATGAAGTAAAGGAAAAAAAAATAGAAGGAATGAATGGAGCAGCTATAGGTTAGTAGCATTGGAGGGCTGCCATTGTTCAACCATGATCTAAACTGTCAGGATGACTCCTAACTTAACTGGAGCTATTCCGATGGCAAACACCAGCTTTTAACTTGTTAACTGTTATTGAGATTCAAAAGTAGAAAAAATATTTCCTACGTCCAACTAGAGCACCTTACTTTAGCTGAACACCAAGTATCTATGCTCTCTTTGACAGGATGTGGTCCTTTGCTGCTGAATCACGTTAAAATCATACAAACTGTAATTGGATGATTCAATACAACTGGCTAATTTAGAAAGTAAACATAAAAACTTACTAATTAAGCAGCAACACCTAAACTACCCTAATTTTCGGACTATAAGCCGCAACTTTTTCCCCATTTTTCGACCTTGCGGCTTATATAAAAATGCAGCTTATCTATGGACTTTTACAGCTAACGGACACTAGGGTAATGCGGTTCCTAAATCTATGGATTTTACCATCCACCATGTTGACGTCACATTTGCTTCAACACACAAGTAGCCGAGGGAATGCGGACGTCCTCCAGAAGCAGACTCCGAGAAAGACGGACATTGCGAGCGCAAGACAGTTTGTGTGACACCCTCATTATGGAAAACAAATGTTGAAATGCTGGTGCAGCTTTTAAGTTAAAGGCAGTCAATTTTGCAGTAAACGAAGGAAACAGAACCGCTGCACGTAACCTCGGAATCAACGAGTCAATGGTGAGACGTTGGAGACGCCAGCAGGAAGAATTGTCTCAATTCAATTGTGTTGAAATGTTAATAAATAGGAGCTTCCCCAAACAGTTGCCTCTTTCCCGACAATCCTCTCTGTGCACGAACCATATGGTAATTAAACATCCTGCGGCTTATAGTCCGGTGCGGCTTGTATATGTACAAATCATGCAATTTAGCTTCTGCGGCTTATATTCAGGTGCAGCTTATAGTCGGAAAATTACGGCATATGTTTGACCGTACATACAGGCTTTGATGAATAATTGAGAACACCATTAGTTTGGACACCGATGTTTTATATTTATACAAATAATGCTCTCTTTTTTCATCTCCTTCCTACTCTTTAAAGTCAAACAATTCCAGTTTTCTATTGTCCTGAAAGAGCAAGCACTGTAATGGTACTTAGTGAAATGATGATACATTCCTTGCGGTAAAAGACCTAATCGATCTCTGGCATCACTCTGCCCTGCTGCGACTACAAGGTGACTTTCTTGTTCAGCATGCTGGAAACACAACAGCCCAACCATATTGAGTGGGGCGTGTTGCATAAATTACATTACTGCCTCTGTCTGACCTAATCTCTCAGTGGTCATGAGGTTATCCTCCTCATATTCACCCCTTGTTTTACTCTAAATATGTTGAAAAGCTCAATCTTAGTCTCATTTGACCAAAACTATCAACCACCATATTTACATTTATGATGGCAGAAGAGGAAATACTTTTTTTTTTGGCATTACCCAAAAACAATCAGATGAGATGTAAGACGTGTTTAATGGATCTTGTGGATGTGTTCTCCTGGGATACTCTGGCTTCCTTCCTCAATCCAAAATCATGGCTGTTACTCGGAGAAAACACATCCTCCGTAACTTCTTTGCTTCGCTCCTTCCAGACCGCCTCAACAAAGCAACGCCTACAGCCGCAACGGTTCTCTGTCTTGCTCCACTCAGAGTTCCCTGGAACTCGGGGGAGCATGTGCATTTATTATTATTTATTACATTATTAAAAATGTCTCTGGACCTTTACTGGTTGTTGATCTTCTTCATTCGGATCTTGCTGATTATTAATTGATTAAACCGGCTCTATAGTAAAAGGCTACAAGAAATATACATCTTTGGCCCCGTCCACACGAAGCCAAACCCTGGCCTAAACGCACAAATTTTTCACCAAACCAGCCTCTCATCCATACGAAGCCGGCGTTTCGGGGGTCTGTAAACGTTTTTTTTTTTTATTCAGCCTTCAGAGTGGGAAGCTTTTGAAACGCCGTTTTCGCGTTTCCACCCTTAAGGCCTAACCCCATTTTTTTTTTTTTT